TGAGCTAACCAGTAAGAGATTTCTTCTGTGGGATTACAGACAAGTATTAAGTTGATGTTCTTGGATGAAGAACTTGCAAAAGATGTAGGGTCCAGAGATTTGCTCCCTTTTTCATTGTTTGTGTAGGTTACATAGAAGGAGAATTGAAGTAGCAAGAATAGAGTTATGAATATACATGGATTGATTTAAAAGAAAGAATATTTGTTACAGAGATATAAAAGAGAACACAGGGCCAAATGACACTTCTAATCTCATCTCTTCAAAATCAGGAATCATAACTATATTTTTTGTTGTTTAAAGAGCTCGCCCAATAAGCCTGGTAAAGGAGCATTTTTCTATTAGAGAATTAATTTCATTATCTTTATTAATTAATTTGTGTTAGGATACCATGTCTATCACATCTAGGCATGAGTATACATATGATATTCAGCACTGCAAATATATACATAACAAAAAGACAGTCCGAAGCACAAGCACAAAAAAATTAGGATATAATAATAAAGAGTGTAAAGAATTATGATAGCTAATGAGTATTTCATAGAAACATATTAATGACTATTATATATGAAGATCTAGAGCAGCTTCTGTCTAAACCTTTAATTTGTGGAAAATGAAAAAATATGCCACATTTCAATACTTCCTTAAGTGCCCATGTGTGGTGGTTTAACCCACAGGTAGGACCATGCGGTCCTGCACTCACTTCCCCCCACCCAGTGAGATGAGAAGAGAATCACAACAAAATGGGCACAGATTAGGTTGAAGGACAGGGACAGCTCACTCACCAGTTATGGTCATGGGGAAAACAGACTCAACTTGGGGAAGAAAAATCAATTTAATTCATTACCATTCACCTGAGTAGCGCAGTGAGACATAACAACCACATCTTACAACACCTTCCCCCCACCCCTCCCTTCTTCCAGGGCTCAAATCACTTTGCTCCCAATTTTTCTACCTTCTTCTCCCCAGTGGCACAGGGGACAGGGAATGGGGGTTGCGGTCTGTGCTGCTCTTTCCAGCATGAGATCCCTCCCACATTCTGCAAAAGTTCAGGTTCAAAGTGTTCCAATGCACGGTTCCCATGGAGTCACGGACCTCTTCGGGCACAGCTCCTGGCTCCAGCATGGGGACCTCCACGGGCTGCAGGTGGGTCTCCAATCCAGTGCACCTCCTCTCCAAACTCTGGGGGAGTTCATAATGTCAACCAATGCAGCTTTCCCATATGTTCACTCCAGTATCTTTAAAGCTAATTAGGTACAGATTCATAGCAGGGAATGAGTTTTGGAGAAGGACTTATTTGTGTATAGTTGGGCAGGTAGTACCACGTGAACTGGCCTAAAGAATGGAGATTTTTGCATGCTGGTGGCAGGTATGTCATAAATGAGCAGAATGTTCTCCACTTCTGATCAAGCACTTGGAGGTCAAAATGAGATAGTAGAAGGTATCTAAAATGGAACCAGCATATAAGTGTTTAGGCAACTGAATTCTAGTGTGCATATCATGTTATCACTATGTTTTTTGTCTTAGCATTGCAGAAAAGAATCATACTGAACATTGCAATTATTGAGTTTTCGTCAGACAGACTAAAATAAATCAAAACTCTAGTTTCAATATTAGTTTCTACAAACTGTGAGAATGCATATTGAGTAGGTACATTACAGATAGGCTGAAGCCACAGGCAGTTCATGTAATCTCTGCCATAAATCCGTGCTGAGTCATTTTGTATCACTGCTGCTTAGTCTAGAACATAGCACTCACATTTGCATGGTTTTATATCTGCCTAGATGGAAGGTGTCCCTGCCATGGCAGAGGGGTAGGAACTAGATGATCTTTAAGGTTCCTTCCAACCCAAACCATTCTATGGTTCTATGATATGTCTTCAATCTCAGTGCATAGTTCAACATTGCTTTGAAATTCATGGAAGCTAGATTTACAAATACATTGAACTTCCTTACTTCCACTAATTTTTGGAAGGTCAGCTTTTGAAAATCAGATGCTGATTCCAGTTCTTGTAGTAGGAAATGGAGACCAGGTCTGTAGGATCTGTAATGCATCCTGGAGTTAAACTAGCAAGAAAAAGGATTTTGTCCTGCTGCACTGTGAGCTCAATTTTGGCCTTATATTTTGTGGATAGTTGTCTTAGTTGAAGAGGAATGAAGGTGAAAAGATCTGAAACAGATGGAGCAAGGTTTCTCAGGAGACATCTGGCAGATCTCCATATGTAATTCTTTGTGCTCCTTTGCTACAGCCATTCATGTTGCCTCATGCTAGCCCAATGCTGTTTGACAGAGACATAAGACCAGAATGAGTCCCAGTGCTGAACTACGGTGTGCAGTGGTACAGTACTATGTGAACCAACTTAAGTATTAATTTCTGTACATTTTGCAGACTCATGTGCAAACTTAGACTAATGAAAAGCTTTTATTGTGATTAAATATGGTTGTTAATTGTATTGTGATTAAATACAGTTGTTAATCATGGCTAATCTCTAAAGATAGCAATTCAGGAAGTACTTTGTCACTCAGTGCTGTTTATGAAGCAGTAATTTATGGAGCTTTATTCCAGCTGACTCCGCTGCTTGAATTATACACAGGCCACTCAGAAAGAGTTACCTAGGCAACCCGTCAATTCATCCTTTTGTGCTCAAATTTTACATCAGTCATCACATTTCAAAGCTGAGCACCCATCTCAGATTGATTTTCCCACCCCAACAGCATCTACCAGCATGGACAAGGAATGGATTTGGTTTTTAGGAAGTAGCTCTATGAACTCCTGCACCAGCCCAGTCCTCCCAAAGTCAAACTTCAATAGATTGCAGCAGTGAAGTATAGGTCATCTGCCTGCTCTGGTAAAGAGCTGTAAGCTAAAGGCTAAAGCTAGCCTCTTAAGCTGCTCAGGAGCCTCTTAAGTAGTGTGTGGAGTGTGACAAATGTACATCTTTAAAATCTTTTAATGATTATACCTTTTATGACCTGTTCACTTTACTGTCATCTTACAATCATGCAACTTGGGAGTTTTACAAAGTGTAGGGGTTAACAAAATGGTGTCTTCTGTTGACATTAACACATAGCTGCAGCCTGTCAATGTGCCAAGAGAAATAATGGTTTCTTTCCAGTACATCGGTGTCAGGTGATACAATCCTGGTTGAACAGCCTGAACCAACAATTGGGCTTGCTTGTATAGGTATTGATCAGTTCAGATAGCTGAGTAGTTGAATAATTCAGGAGCTCATAATAGTGTAATAATTAAGACTCATTCTTCAATCAAAATTAGCAGTAAGTAGAAATTGTTAGGAACAATACCAACATATGGTGACATTTCATCATTAACTCTCTTGCTTAGAAAAAAATAACTGATGTGGCCATTCAAATTACTGCTTCTTATAGCATTGTCATAAGGTTTATGTAAGCCATCTTAAGATGGGGCAATAACTGACAAGAAACCTGTATTACAAAATTATGGGAAGACTAACTTGCACACTGCGGAGAGGACTGAATTCTCAATTATTATCTTCTTGCAAAAGAGGAAAACAAGAACACAACCTGAAGAAGTAGTTATACACCTCTCATGCTCTCAAGCAAACACAGTTTTCACCAGGTACTCTTTTTTGGACTTTAACTTTCCCTGAGCTCTCTAGGAATCTTTCCACAGGCTTAATAGGGTTTACATTACACACATCTATGTGAAAGAACAATTCAAGCCATTTTTTTATTTTTCCATATCCTGCAGTATAAGTTAGATCCATGTGCAATTCTGGAGACATTGTCTACCTGTGTTAAAAGTTTAAAATTTATTTTAATATATACACCCAAAAGGCTAAGTCATGCTCACTTTGCTTGCTTTCAAGTGGCAGTCTGAGAGGGCTCCATTTTGTTAGCAGAAGCAGTCTAAGGAAAGAGAAGTGTGTGGCAGCCAAAAGGTTTTCTGTTGTGGCAGAAGGTCCTTATACACTTACTCTGTAATAGAGATGACAGGTGAAGAGCATACATATAAAAGGAGACTAGAGATTGATGTGAAAATCAGCTACACAAATAAGAGGAATGTCTTTAGTTTTAGTACCAAGTTGCTAAGAAGACTGCTGTATTGTGGCTGGTCTAAACACAAGAGGCACAGGCTGGAGATACAGAGAAGCCTTTTCCCCTTGAGGACAGCCCAGTGGTGGAGCTGGGACCCAGGGAAGTTGGGCCATCTCCATCCTTGGTGGTTTCACGGCCTGGCTAGACAGAGTCCTGAGCACCCCAGTCTGACACCCTGGCTGATGAGCAGTGAAGCTCCCCAGATCCCCACCAGCCTGAATTGCCCTATAGTCCTATGAAAAGGAAAATACCTGTATATGTGTGTGTATATATATATATATATATAGAGGGAGAGAGAGATATCTTAAATAGTAACTTTTTAGCTTACTCACAAAAGCTTAAGAAGTTAGATGTATGTATACATTCATACATACATATATATATATATATGCACGTATATATAATTCTAATTATATGCATATATATGTTTTGGAGTGTGTTCACACACACACGCACACATCACATTCTCTCTCTTTCTGTGTCTCTCTCTCTATCTCTACCTCTGCCTATACCTCTATCTCTATATATGTGGCCAGGCTTGGTACAATCCAGATCAGTTTTGACCCCTGACTAGACTAGCCCACATCCTAAGGGAGAGCCTGTGGGAGGTTGTATCGGAGGCACAAGATTCCTTTCCAGGCAGAAGGCACGACACTGTTCTGTGCATCCCAAGGGACCAGCACCACTGTCAGCTTAGCCATAAACGGACATCCTCCAGCAGCCTATGCTGCAGAGGTACCTCATAGTCTGGCCAAAATCTTTTTACTGTGTCCTAGCTAATGTTGTTAGGTAGGTGTGGTGTTAATGCAATGACTTCAGACCCATTGGATTCTCACTGAATCTGAAGAGTCCTCAGGACTCTTCTTTAAAGAATCCATAACCTCATTAATCCGTTCAATATTCTGCTCACTGTGACTTTTCTTATAGAATGAAGAAGAGGAGGACCAGCCTCTCAGCCTGGCCTGGCCTGACACCCCACGCAAGCAGCTCACCTATCTCCTTGTGTTACCCATTGTTTTTCCACTGTGGGCTTCCCTCCCAGATGTCAGAAAACCTGTGAGTAACTGTTGTTGTAAGTCAGTGTGTTCTGCACAACAGGGTGGCTCTCTAGCTAAATGCCAAAAAGAGACTGGTGGATTTTTTTTAAAAATAAAGCTAATGATTTTTTTAATAGCTTATTCTTTGAAGAAGAGGTCACAACATCAGTCTTCAAATCTTCAAATGGGTTCTTATGGGCAACTGGTTGGTAATAACTCTGTAAAGATTGCCATTTGTATTCACTAATATTTTATGACACAAAGTGAAAGCTCTTAAAGCTTCTTTGGGGCCTTCACATCTGCATTTCTAGATCTCCACTGAATATTGCATAAGTGCTGAGGAAGCTTGTCCATCTTTCCAGTGCCCTACAGGGTACATCTGGAAAGATTTTAGACTGGCTAAATTTGCTTTGTGGTTCAAAAATATGATACACATTTATCTTAAATGCATGTTCTACTAGACATTTGTCTTCTAGTCATCATCTTTTAATTTTCATACTAGAACAAGGTCTGTAAGTCCTTCCATGTGTAAAATACTTTCTAGTTGTGTTCCAGACACAACCTGAAGTAATATAAGACTGATTATTAATACAAATGACTTATTGTGACAGTTATCAAGTCTTACTGCTTTTATATTCACATATACAAACAGACCTGACTGGGGAGACTCATGGAAAGGAAAAGAAAAAAAGTCAAGAGCTGAAAAAATCCTTTAGTAGTCTTTTAATCTCTTTTCCTTTCTGAATCAAAAATACATTTAAAATTGCTGCAAGAGAGGGATGCACAGCTTCTAAGGTTATAAATCAACACCCTGAATTCTTTTTTCCTCCTCGCACACACTGAAACATTTTCCCATCCCACACACTGAAAAACTGCAGTTCAGTGCAAGAGACAAGCTAAAATAAGACCTCTGATTTGTTTTTAGATAGAGGGTTCTCAAAGGATATAAACTGACATTTTCCCTTCCAATCTTTAAGCTTTCTTCTCTTTAAGTTTTCAAACAACTCTGGTAAACACTTCTTGTTTGGTAACACAGAGAGCATACTACATGAATTTCAAGATTGCTTATTTCTGTATTTATGCCCTCCTTTTATCTTTCAGAACCATCACTGTAATTTTTTTCATAATTTGGCCCCAAATGAGCAAGTACTGCTAAGCAATAAATACATGCATTATTTCGAATTTTGAAAATCTGAAGTTAACATCAATAGACATGTTGACTTACTCCATATTCTGTACTGTACAAATGAGAACAGTTTTTACAATAATGGTTTTGGAAAGCTAATATCTCAGGAAGTTGCGTGCAACTGTGTAATACATAATCATATGTTATTGTTTATATGTTAACATCATATGTTTATTGTTCACAACACAGCTGGTGTGCTTACAGCTAAAATACCCTGCCGTAACAGAGAAGATAAGCACAGTTGTCTGTGCCAGATACATCAATGGGCTACAGAGCTTTAAAATTTCATTCACTGAAAGGAGTAGCTTTTTATACAGAAGTAAAGGAAATGTAGTTTTTTAATTACATGTAGTAATAACAGAAGAGGTAACAGGCTGTATCAGTATGACAAGCTGCTTACTTTGAATATTGCTGTCAAAGAATTAACCAGATGGCTGCATTAACTGTCTAACCTTTCAAGCACCCTTCATTAATGTGTTTATCTTTAAAATATTCTCACTTATGCCTGTGTGCCATCCCCACTGTTCCCTTCCTAACAGAACGAAAACGCAATAGAATAGCTCAGCGTGTGCATCAGAAAACGACTTTCCATTACATTTGTGAGGCAGAAGTCAAAACAAACCTAAAATAATACTTAAATAGATTTTGTAGGTAGGCCTGCCATCAGGGGCTTGATTTGCAAGTGTGGTAATTTTAGTCAGAAACCCAAATTCTGCATCAGGATGCTCCGATTAGCATGTGGATGTATAAAATGAACACTTGTGTGTTATATACTGATTTCAGAGACCATATGGAGTCTGACATGCTCTGTGGGTGTCCACTTTTCAAAAATGAGTTCTTCTTTCCTCCTAGAGTCTCTTTTCTAAAGTATATTTTATCTTCATATAATGGAGATGGTTTGACTGCATTTACTTGTACTATACCAAGCTTTATTTAGCTCCATGAGACCCAGAAGCTCTAGAAAAATTATTTTATATACAAGGGCTCTGGTTATAAAGTTGGCAAGGTTACTGCCTGGTTATGCTCTAGTGTACAGATGCACAGATTTTTCTGTACTTAGAGTAGATTATGTGTTAGGTCAGCTAACTCCTCAGCTGATTCAGTAGCTGACATGTTTTAATGTGTATTTAGTGCCTTAATAATATCTGCTGACGTTAAACAAGTATATATTAAAATCCTTACTATAACATTGGTAAAGTTGCTGGCAGTACACCAGAGGTAGGTGTGCCCTTGAGAAATTTTGTACCTGACATCTTTTCAGGTGTTTTGAACAGTAATGGGTATTTTTCCTGTATGAATAGCTCGTTTCCCCAGTGGCTTTGTAAAGGCCATAAATTTAACTGTCCACCTCCTGCAGTAAGGGATATTGAAGGATTGAAAAGAAAATGATGTGACCAAGGTGGCCCAGTGGGCCAGCGGCAGATATTGAACACTGTCTCTTTTGTTATAGCCATACTGCACCATCCATCCCTTTATGTTATGGGCCAGAAAAATGGCTATCAGGGCTCCAGTCCTGCTGTCACTGGACCCATATGGGGCAGTTCATTGTAACTCTTCAAATTCCCATTACCAATGGAGAAGTACAGCTTACATGAACTCTTGTTGCCATACAGAGATGCACTGTTACCAAGGGGACAAGGACAAGATGTTCCTGCACAGATCCAGTTACAGGAGCAGGTTCTGAGTAATCAGATTTAAGCACTATCAAGTATGAAAGGAAAATCAAAGCTTGCAATGCAGATAAATTTATGTATGAGACAAACATATGATTCATTCAGGTTAAAGGTAAAGGTAAAGATGTTGGTAATAATACTGGCTAAAATTAAGATAGTTACTTTGCAAATTACGAAGCACTCACTATCTTTCAAGATCAGACTCTTAGAAGAAAAATCTTCAAACTTGGATCATTCGTGCTACTGTAAGTCCTGTTTTTCAGATACTGGCATGAAATCAATACAGAAAGGTACCACGAAAAATGTCCTTAAGATTGCTGATAGATAGGAACAGTACCAATCCAACCAGCTGACAGTGAAACAACAATTTTTTTTCTCTTGTTAAAAGAAAACAGCGTATGAACTGAATGAGCCATGGCTTTTCTCATTTGTCTGTTACCATGACCAAAACAGAACCAACTGGTAATAAACTGGGGTCTCTGTCTTCACAAGGCAACCATCACAACAGCTACCAGAAAAGGTGGAGAGAAGTATTGCTGTCTGCTGTCTCTGACTAATTCTTCTAGGAAAATGCTTGGAATTTGCAGCTTGCTGTATTTGCAAGAGCTAGTGAGTTGCAACGAGATAAATCTCAAAAGAATGCTGTCATTAGTTTCAAAATAAGCATGATTATTATTATACTCTGGAAATAAAATAGAGCATCCGAAAAAGAAGCAGCACTCTCATTACTGTTTTTTAAAAATTTCATCTATATGCAAATTATATAGGAGTATCTATGAAGTCCATTCTTTATTTCATCACCTGTAATATGTACAAGTTTTAAATTTCCCCCTTTTGAGTTTAAATGTTCCCTCTTTTAAAATAGATAATTAAACTGTTAAGCCTATTAAAGTACTCTTAATCTTGAACTGCTGCTTATCAGTTAATTTTACTGGGAGAGGATTGGCTAAATCAGACTAGGAACACACATGCTGCAAAGCTACTGACTCATAATTCTTAGCCATCCAAATTCTGTGGATGTCTGACTCAGACAGGCAATATCTCATTATTTTGCAAGAACCATTTGGTATATATAATTGCACTGACAGAGAGCTATTACTGGACAGTACAGCTCTTGCTGTATTAGTTTTGCAAAAGCCAATGGATGCTTGTATCTTGAGTGTCATACAGTGATTATTCAAAATGGACTGCTGGAGGGTGCTCTGTGTAGATTTTGTGGTGAGTTGCAACAAGCTTAGCGCTTCATTGTCGCATTTACTATAATGGGTTGCCAGAAAATCCCAGTTTTTACAAGGAAGTAAAAAGATGTTGAAAGAGTTGGCTACTAAGAATGGTGAAAAAAAAGTGTGAGCTATTTAATTTAGAAAAAGGAAATTGCTGTTTAGATTCATTTGTCCCCTCCAAACCCAATTCTGCTCCCACTGGTGTTAGATCACTGTTTTAACAGCCATCTTTATGTTCCTTTCAAATTGTATACCTTTTCAGACTAAGATCTTCTGTCCCCCAGTGCATGTAAAGTTTTGATTTTAAAATCAAAAGTCCATCTGAGTAGCTTTAAACATCAGAAGTTCATTATAAGATATTCCGATTTGATAAAAATTTAGAACTTTGTTTTGAAGAAGTAACTGCTCTGTAAAGAGTTAAGAAGGAGATCAACCAAAATAGCTTGGGCAGTTCTAGAAACAGTTTGCTTACTCCAACAGAAGTTCAGTTATTTATTAATATAGGAGGGGAGTTATCAGTGTTGTTAAATCTGTCCCATCTTAAATGTGTGTTCCTATGTATATTCAATGGTGGAGTTGTATAGGTCATGTTAGTCAATGTTTATGAGCTCAGTTGTCAGGAGGGCATTTAGCATCATGCAAAGTGCCCACAGGAAGTCTGTAAGGAAGTCAGTCAGCAGGCTGCACCTGCTGCTAGAGCAGATATGGACCTTTTAATTGTCTTGGCCTCTGGATGATTGTACACAATTGCCATTGCTGACTTTACCTTTTTCTGATCAGTAATGACCTGATCTCATTCCATTTACATCAGCAGAAAGTCTACACAATTTCAGTGGGCTGCAGACCAGCCCCACTCTTTCCTGGTTCAGCTGACAAAACACAATGTCCTTCCTGCATGACCAGCTCTGATGGCTAGCCCAATTCACTGATCACCCCTCAATTCATAGCCACCCACACTGATCAGTTCCTAGATGTGAGGCTGTCCCATATAAATGCCTCTTGTGTCTGTTATACAGGAAAAGCTGGCTGTGCAACTCCTGTAAACTCCCTAAAAAAAAGGGAAAGCTTTAACTTGGCTTGAGCAAGCTGAATTGGGAGAACGCAAATAGTATTTTCTCTCCAAAAGTCATGTTCAGGGAAAAAGCCTGCAGTCCTGTCTGCTCCCACAACACCTAGGAATGACCCACAGGCTAGTGAGTTTCCTGGTACAGCAGGGGCCCATCCTGCAGGGGAGAGGGGAGTACGCAAGGTGTACTGCCCAAAAAATCTGGAGTCCCATGCAGAGAAAAAAGTGGAAGTGGATTTAGCAAAGATTTAACAGGAAGAGGTAGTGCAGGCTTGAGCAGCAGCTGGAACAAGTATTCAAAGCCCTACTGCTTATTCATGAAAATTTGGAAAGCTCTCCTGGTGGCACATCAAAAGTCATCTGGTGTGAGGATCTGTGTTCAGAAGGTCAATGCCCATAAAGAATGTGGTTTCATTCAAGACTGGTAGTATTCATTCACCGTACAAATTTCATTTTAAACACTAATTTGATTCAGGCAGTGATTACCTGGTACAGTACTGCTATCATATTTCCTTCCTTTAGTCATTAACTTGATCTCTTTCTGTTATAGAGATCTAGCTAGCCAATAGGAAATATGGATGATGCAACAGACTGGAAAGAACAGAAACCAAAATAAATCATTAATCCGGATATAAGCCATTCGTTGGCTCCAAGAATGCTATCTATTCAAAGTTTGACATTAGTAAGGGAGACACTGGAAATGAGAATGATGCTATGTTGACGTTATACAGATTTTTTTAGTTCATTGAAGTGCCTCATAGTATGTTTTACATTTTTTGATAACAAACTTCTCTACAAAACAAAGCATGGCAAATGCTTGGAACAGGTTGCCCAAAGAACTTGTGGATGCTCCCTCCCTGAAAGTGTTCAAGGCCAGGTTGGATGAGGCTTTGAGCAACCTGGTCTAGTTGAAGGTACCCCTGGGGGTTGGAACTAGATGATCTTTAAGGTCCCTTTTAGTTGTCTATTTTTTTTTTAATAAAAAATATAACCTTTGTTATATTGACTGTGAAACTTGTTGCACAAAGTTATTGATGAGTGAATGAACAGTATGACTATCTGTTTTAGCAATGTGAAACATTCTGTCTGAGTAAGTATGAAGTTACTAACAAATCTGAAGCCACCATTCAGCTAAATGCATGCAAACTGTGACATAACAGAATATGATACAAATGACAACCCAAAACTTGTGATGCATCATACAAGTTGTCTAGAAGGTGTTATTTTACAACTGAAGCAGTTGTAAGAATGAAGCATAGGTAAGCATATACCAGTGTGGGGAGTCAGTTTCTTAACATTCTTGAAAATTATTTTGCTCATCTGATGATGATCAGAATAGTTGGTCAGAACAGGTGATCAGGAAAAAATGAAGGGCCACTCTTATTTTAAGAAGCAAATAAGAGTTCAGCACATCAGCCTTCAACATAGATTTTCACTGTTTCTCTTTGTTTCTGTTTCAGAGGTCAAGAAAGTTTTTTCCTATCACATTTTTTGGCTCGATCAGCTGGATTGCATTTTTTTCTTACTTAATGGTCTGGTGGGCACATCAGGTAAGGAGGTGATACTGGTACAAAATACAAGCCCTGCATTGTGTTTTGCGCTGTGAGAGACTGCTTAGAATCAGAGTCCCATCATCTTTCTCATGCTGAGTAGTGCTTTATTTTAGGAGCTGCAACCATGGATGAAGTAAATCACTACTTAGTAAATGGAAAGTAGTTCAGAGAGCTGTGGTTGTGTTGACCACAGGACTTCATCATTCTGGTAACATTAGAGCCATCAGCAAACTCTTGTCAATAGCTCCTGGTTCTATTTGACCTCTTGTCTTTCTCCTGAGACATGGAAATCTGTGAAAACAAATAGTTCTCCAATCTTGCCTGTATTCTCCAGGCCAGTTGAATATCATGATATTCATGATAAAACAGATTTACAGCAGAAAGCATTTCTTCAGCAAAGGACCTTTTTTGTTGTTTTTTATTTAACCCTTTTAGGTTGGAGAGACAATTGGTATTAGTGAAGAAATCATGGGATTGACTATTCTAGCTGCTGGAACGTCCATTCCCGACCTTATTACCAGTGTTATTGTAGCACGCAAAGGTCTGGGGGACATGGCTGTGTCCAGTTCTGTTGGGAGCAATATATTTGACATCACAGTGGGGTAAGTCCTGCAGCAAGCAAATTGTGTCTGTTTTAACAAGTATCTTGTTCTTCATGTTACTGTGGTTTTGCCAAAGTGTTACCTACAATTTTCTGCCACTGATGCCTGAAAAGGAAAGTAAAGCAAATATGCAATGGATGTTACTATTTCAAGTGCTCAGACGTTTATAGACATTTGCATGACAGAATTGTTACAAATTTGTTGCCTGATTCTCTCTGAGCTTACATTACAGAGCTGCCCAAACAAGGGAATTGCACTTTAAAAAGTATGCAGGAGCATAGTTCCAGCAAGGAATTTCTGAAGCTTTTTATGGCTTTGTCAGGTTGCTATTGTTTGCCTATGTTAGCACCCATTGTGCTTATACTAGAGCTTTCTTTATAAATGATGATCAGGAACAATTCATTGCCTCTGCAATATTCAGTGTTTGCTGTAATAAAAACAGAGTGTCATTGTCTTGTGTAGCTCGTTTAGACTGTTGTTGACATGTGATTTTTTTATATACCTGACAAATTACAAACCAATTCTCTATTAACACAAAGGACCCTTTGTATAGCTCTGACAATGTGAAGGAACACAAGGTTGTGCAGAAATATGCTATTTACACTTTACTGCTTCACAGCAGCTCTAGGATAATGATATGTGGCATGTGGCTGGAATTCAAATTCCTTTTTGACCTTCTGAGACCAAGCTAGATCAGATCCAGAAATGTTGTAATCTATGCCTCAGTGTTTCAAAAATGTGCAGGAAATGTACAAACTCTGTCTTTATTCCCACATTTCCATCTTCAACACAGGATAGAGGCACTGAGAATCATGTCCATACTCTCAGTTTCTCTTATCTTTGGCTCTTTCTTGCTATCACACAGGCAGAACAGGTCTAGACATAGTCATAGTCCCCAACAGCCTAGCTGTAGAACAGATCATGGGTTTTGCTGCTTAAAATATACCAACAACTGCAAGGGATCCTGAAGTTAGGGAGTATAGTAATTGGCTTTTTAAATCCATCTGTTAGCTAATGACAGTACCTTTGGACACCGCAGAAAATCTAGGCCACTTTTTTCTATTAATCCAGGAACGTGAAGTGTTTGAAATAACATCTATAAGCAGCAGCAGAGCTGCAAAATATGCAAAAACATTTTTCCTTACCATGTGCTTCAACTTAGAACATAAGGTGCATTACAAAACTTATCTCTTTCTTACTTTTCTTTAAATTTTTAGTCTTCCTGACAATGGAAATGTTGTCCTGTACCAGTCTGCTAGACTTGGTGTATTTTCAACAGAAATGGCACAGTTGAGCCATAGGCTGGTTCACTTAGTACTGAGGCGGTAATAAATTGTTCTCTCTTGAGCTGCCTATTCATAGTTTGAATGTTGTGAGCTTCTGACAGCTCTCTTCATGTTTTCTAAGCCTGCTAAGCTCCTATCAGTGACTTAAATATTTATTTCAGTTTTACATCTCCCAGAGGGACGTTGCTTCATTCTGTGGCATCAGAGATGAGAAATGCAATGACAGCAAATACAGAAAGAGAAATTAAGCTGGAGTTCAGTTGAAGTTCACATTTTAACACAGGTTTGCACAGTAGATATGGATCAAGGTTTTTAAGGGCCAAACTCTGAGGAGAGTGTCTTGCAGAGAGCTGGTTCTTAATGGCGAGGGCATGCATTTAGGCAACCCAGCCTTCTGTAATGCAGATTTTTGGAAAGAGATTGGAAGAAGGTTCTTCCACAGATGGTCTGAAATCTGGAAACAAAAGAAAGGGGTCTCTCTGCTGAAAGGCAGGATGTCAGATGATTTTTCAGCCGAGGGAAATATAATTCACTAGTGTAACCGATAGAAAAGTGGAAAGCCTAAACCCCATTTGTTGTCCCCAAGAACCATGAGCAAGCTGACAGGTTTATGTACATATTAGAAGAGCTTCACACCTCATTTTATGCCAGAAGCCTCTGGCTGTGTTTTGGAGTGCCTCCAGAAACATTCTAGTGCCCCTCAGTGCACCTCTGCAATGTTGCCAATTTATTTTTCTGTTTCTTAACAGCCTTCCTCTTCCATGGCTCCTGTATGCTGTGAGTAACAGGTTTGCCCCGGTGACAGTCAGCAGCAATGGTCTGTTCTGTGCAATTGTCCTCCTCTTCATCATGCTGCTCTTTGTCATCCTCTCCATCGCTTTCTGCAAGTGGAGGATGAATAAAATCCTGGGCTTTCTCATGTTTGGGCTTTATTTTCTGTTCCTGATTGTCAGCGTCCTCCTGGAGGACAAAGTGATCCAGTGTCCTGTCTCCATCTAGTGGGAAGTGCTGTTTCTCGAGGAAAAAGAATCCAAGCATATATATGTATTAAAAAAAAAATATATATATCAAAATGAAACAGCAAAAAACCACAATGGAAAGCTTCTATGAGAATAACCCGTGGATTTGTAAATTTCCTCTCCCTCAATTTTAAAAGAGAGAAAGAAAGAAAAGGATACCAAGGGTGGATCTCCAAGCTGAAGAATGACTACTGGATGACAGTGCAGTCACACATGAGGCACTGAGTCCAGCTGTGCTACGGTTTTCTTTGTCTGGTGCAGAACTTTCTCATCGCTCATTACTGGAGATGCTGCGCACGCATGGAAGTGGTGACAGCGACTGCTTCTCCTATACCTATGGTACATATCTGCAGACTTCTCGTTCTCTGTAGAGAGAGTAGAACACACAGACACACAGTGTCTTCAGTTCATAAAGCTCTCATCTTCTAAGGGGAATGCTAATACTAACTTTGTAGAGGCACCACGCCCCACATGCCCTGGAATGGGACTTTTCTGATAATCGGCTGAAACTCCTGAGCGGAAAGCATATAGTGAGCACGTGAGTCATGAGACAGGGAAGAGCTTGCACATCTTTTCATATAAATGGATTTATATGATGGGATTTCAGCAAAGCCAGGGAGTTCATCAGTGTTTTGATTCTCGGCATCCCAGGTCTGTAAAGTCAATCAGCACGACATTAATGGTGATTTATTATATCTTGCAAAAGTCTTTAGATTCCAAAAACTCTGGCTCTGGCACTGAAGGGGCCACACTGCCTGGCCATTTTATAACTGGTGCAGTTTTTCATTGCATTCACATGCAAAGACCAGAATGGGGATACTCTTTGTTATCAAATAGCAGCACAGCATGCAGAGAGATCATACAACTACTATGTGAACACACCATTTTTTCTAATGCAGCAATATTGACAGTACCAATGGCTTTCAGATGCTGTTATCATTATAGGTTTGCCTTTTCATGCCAGAAGAAAAAGGCTAATTTGCTTATGCATGGTATTTCATACAGAAAATAGAAGTGATTGTAAAGTGGCAGCCTAATTGCTAAAGTGGATGTATATTTTACAGGCTATCTTTCATCATTACTTGGTGTGTAAGGACCTTCACAGCTACATATAGCCATTGCTGGAAGAGATATCCAGCTGATGTACAAAACTGGGGAGGTTCATATTTGCTTTTATAAATCTTGAAACTAGGTAGGAAAAACTAACAATTTAAATATAGTGGAGCTGCAGGAAACCTGAAAATTTTTCAGTATTGCTGGAGGTGTGAATGTCTAAAAAAGCCCAAGAAAAAGTGAAAATGCAGTATTTTTCAACAGAAATCCTGAGAGAAGGATAAGGTCTGAACCTAGAACAAAAAAATAAGGAGAGAGAAAGCATCAGAGTGTTCATCTTTCCTATCTTTTGGATGATTAAAAAAAAAAAAAAAAAAAAGGAGGACTGGAATGGGCGTTAAGAAATTATTTCAGGTAATTGTTGTTTGTTCAAGTCTTAGGCAGTTAGAGTTCATGAAATTTCAATGCATTTCTGTAACCTGTTCCAGCATTGTTTTGTATTCGTATTGTACTCACAATGGCAATGCCATGCTCACAGCTGTGTAACAGAAGGCTCAGCCCATTTTGTCTTGTCTGTTTTTCTGTGTTCCATGCTATTTGTTTCTCACTCATTCCCTTTGTCCTTTACTGGTTTCCTATTATGTGTGTTTGTATATAACAGTATCTGGTTAGAGAGTAAGGACTTGACAGAAAACAATGGTAGAGAAAACAGTAGATAATACATATTAAAAATTACTAAAATATTAATACTGTGTGATATCATTAAGAAAAAAGTGAGATACTAATGACAAAAGCAAGAAAACTAGGAATTGCAATGTCTGCTACTCATGTCTTGTCCTAAAGTCCTAGCTATATTCAGAACAGTATTTGATCTTGACTGTATATTTGCAACATCTCATTGCTTAGTGCTTTTTTGTGTGAGCTTCTCTCATTGTGAGCACGAATGTGTCTGTCTATTTAAGATCCTTCATTGCTCCAGAATCCTTACCTGTCTTAACGATAATGTTGCTCACTTCTTAGCATCTGTTTCTACAGGTATGGAAAGATAGGTATATACATACCGGGTGTACACAACGGAAAGATAGGCATATACACACTGACTCGACAGTATAATCTGTCTCAGAGGAGTCACCAAATGCATTTTATTTCTGATGACAGTGCTAAAAACAGGCTTTCAGTATGACCCAAGAGATCCTTTCCCAAGTGAGCAGAATGAGACAGAGTGACCTAAAAAAGCGTGTGCATGATCATGATAGGTCTGTGTATATGGGCACTTGCAGTACACAAAGATGCCCAGCTGCACTGGTGTGACATTTCAAATTAAGAAAGCAAGAAAGGGTAAGAGTCTGATCTCTGTTCAGTACATTACTCCTTTTTTTTTTTTTTTTTTTTTTTTAATGACTTCATGGCCAGCACGGTGTACATCCCACCCTGGAAAGGAAAAAGACCTGCCTTGCCTTGAGAGCTGTAAGAACACTCTGGTGTGCTTTCCAAAGTGAGGGCATCAGCAACAGAGACTACTGCCCTACTGAAGGCAGGTGGGGAGAAAAGAAAGACCAATCAAAAGCCCCACACACTGGGAATATTTCAGTCCAAAGCTGGCATCAGCAGCTTAAAGGAAGAACTCTGTGTAAGGCTCGTGTCCTGTAATGTCATTTGTATACTGTCTTAAAATTATCTGACTCATTGCTTTCCTCTGTCTGCTTGCCCCTATCAACAAATTTATCTCGAAGGGCATTAAAGGTAATTTTTTCCCTCTGAGGAATGAGACACCTCATGACTCCCACTGCCTTGCATCTGCTGGGCAGACCGTGATTCAAATGTCTGTATAACTGTGCAATTGCTGGCAGCTCCAGAGGTAATAGGAGAGATTTCAGTTGTGTGGTGCTTTCTGTGGAGGCTGGCTGTGAATGCTGGTTGTACTTACCAAGGCAGCTTCCTATGTAACTGCTAGGGTAAACTGTTGCAGGATACTTGCATGTTGGTGTGCTCTTTGATTATAAGGCAACAGCTGTGCTGGTAAGAGAAAAGGCAGGATGGAGGAAGAAGGATGGCCACTTATCCCATGTGGAAGGAGTTTGAAAATCTTAAACTGGAGTGCTGAGAGAATAGCCAAAAGCTGCTGCAGCCCAGTTACTGGACATCCATAAGCTGTCCGGGCTTGACACCACCAAAAAAGCACACTGCTTGTTAGGACACTCCTATTTTACAGTGACAGCAAATTTCCCAGCAAAAAGTGTTTCTCATTGTTTGTAACTGTTTCAGTATGGGATCCATGAACATTTCTCAATATTGTACACCTAGAACTCAAATTTCTGTTTTCTTCAGTGAAAGTTTTGAATGATTTCACTAGGGATCTGGTCCTCAAACTTCCTGAATTCTACAGTGAGTTCATCAGCACTGAAGCCTCTTCTACCTGCCTGTATGCCTGTGCTCATTTAGTCAATTGATGCTGCTGTCTGGATAATCCTTGTGAAGCATAAATGAATAATTAATACAGAAATTGGTGTTACAATCAAAACCCTGTTCTAGCTTAGTGTTTTCAGGACAACACCAGGTTGGCAACACAGTAAGTAAGGTCAGAATGCAACTTCAGATTAAATAGCTAACTCTGTGGCTGCTCACACCTGAGCAGAACCAATGTTGGACATGATTTTTGGAAGGGATTTCCAGTAGCATTTGAATAGGATTGTGGGTCAAATTGTACCCTGTTTTAAAGATTGTCTGCACTGACTTCTTTGGAATTAAAGCAGAGAATGGGCTCCATCAGTACAAAATACCACCGAAGTCCTGCAAGTATTTGCTTTTCCACTAAAAACAAACAAACAAACAAACAAACAAAAAAAACCCAAAAAAAACCCCTTCCCTCTGCAGAAGCCACCATGGTCAAATCTGTAGGATAAATGCTATTAAAGTGTGATAAAAAGTATGATATGAGGATGATTTCCTCTAGAACTACATACAGACATGGAAAAATCTTTCAGCAAAGCTCTGTGTATTTTAAATTAACTATTTTACTGAAAGCTAGTGCTTTCCTCTAGTGCAGACAGGCTCTCTGTGTCTATATGCCTGTTCTTATTTATTCAATTTATGTGGCTGTATGCATAATCTTCATGAAACATGAAGCACAGTGGGTGACAAAGAAGCTTATCTAAATGTCATTTGATGTTTGTAATGGCAATGAACCTACCATGTAATTTTCACATACGCTACTCTGAAGTAGTTTATGGTCCCTGTCACTCATGGTACTGTTGTGTGTGGATATGAAGGTCCACAAAGTGGTAGGTTAATCATGTGGTTAATCCAAGTACTGTAAAAAATAGATGCTTAGAAATATTCTTAATGTTTGAGTGTTTTTTAAGGGATTATTTCTCTGGCTGTCTTTTACTTTATTGCATATTTTGCAAAAAAGGGGATATACAATATTTTTTAATTATTCTTCTTTCAGCAGTAATTCCTTAAAATACCATCTTGTGGTCCATATAACTTATGTTCTGAATCAAATATAACTCTGTATCAGATGTATTTATTTAATTTATAACAAAGAAATAATCCCTTCTCCAACAACTGGCCCATTGAAATCCAGAAGATTTTTGCCATTAACTTGGGCGAGATACAGATTTTTATCTTAGGATCTCGCACTTGCATAACAAGCATAATTGTCCTGGGAGCTATATTCAAAGAGAAAAATTGCATTCACCTGCATTCTTGGAAACCATTTTACCTCTTGTAAATATCAATGACACAACTAACTGAGAAAGAGGAATGATTAGTTCCTTTGAACAGGTGATTCTTCTTTTCCTGCTATTCCTGGAAAGTTTGATGAAAGAACTTGCAGCTGGAAACATATCTGCAGAAAATGATTTTGAGATTAGTACATGGGGTAGTTTGTACTTAACAATGTGGGGAAGAGTCCTGCTCCAGCCC